GGAAACCGCCTTCTGGAGGGCCGACGTGGGGCAGGGGCGGGGGCAGAGAGGCGGCCGGGGCAGAGCGTCACGCGCCGCTGCCCGCCCGCCGCGCCGCGGCCTCACCGCCAGGGATTGCCAACACGCGCCACTGGAGAGCAGGTGTGCTGCGGGGAGAACGTTGCCAACTTTGGAAACTTTGGGACATGTTCTTATTGTTCTGTATATAAGTTGTATGTATGATCTATATCTATCTATCTATCTATCTATCTATCTATCTATATAAATATATAAATATTATATTGTATCATATTGTACTGTATATAAATTATAAATGACAAGCTTGCCCTCTCCTCTAAAATGTTACTACTCTGTATTACTGTAGATTCAGTGGCTAGGCGGAAGTGCAGCACTTATGGCATGAGCCTCGCAATTAATAAAGACATTAATATTATTGTTATTATAATTATTATAATTATTACAATTATTATTATTGTATTATCATTTTAATCGCAGTTTTGAAACACTATTTTGAATAGGTCTGTGTTATCGACATTCGGAGGTTCTAAATAATAAATTCATTAACGTTAGTTTAATAATTTAGTTTAGTTAATAAATAAACCTTAGATTTTCACACAAAGATTGCCTTTTTTAATAGTTTTGGAATCTCAACTTTGAAGTAAACTAATTAAACTGGCATGCAATCTTGTAAAAGTATACTACATTTTATAACACGATATTGTTATTATATTATTACTTACAAATAACATTTCACTGTTTAAAAACCTAGAAAACCTCGAACTATATTACAATACAATTCAGTAATCCAGATTGTGGCGGGGGAGTATTCAGACAAATCAAGTAATCCAAACCGCAAGGATATTAAATAATATGTATGATTTAGTTTTGAAATGAAAATATTAGATGAAAATTTTATACACCGAAAGTAAAGCAGTTCAATAATGTAGATGAAAGCAACACTGTCAGTGAACCTTTTCTAGCAAAGTACATTTTAGATACTGAAGCGAGAAGATACTTTTTGTGTGTTGCACAATATTATTTTTGTTGTTTTGATTAACCTTCTTCTGTTTGTTTAATGCACGAAAACAAAGCACTTTTTTTATATTTTAATATTATTTATTTATAATATCTATTTTAAAAAGATTAGCACTTTTTCTATCTCAGCTGACGCAGCCATTCTGATCACTCTCAATCTGAGCTCTCGCAGTCATGATTCAAATAATGAAGCATCTCGACCATCTGCCTCGGAGACATGAAAGCGAACATCCTGCTCATTTCCTTCATATTTGGTGTGAATGTTCTAAACTGTACTCTTCAAAAGTAACAGTTTGATCAGCTTGATATTCCGATATTCTCATTTTGATTAAAATATCAGGTGCTCATTGAATGAAGAAAATGTGAAGTGAAGAAGCAATGTTTATTGATCAAACAGAATAGCACATGAAGGTTTTTATTGATCAAACGCTTGCATCTTATATGTCAATATTTCATTTAAAAAAAAGTTTTTAAACGTAAGTGTCTTGTAATTGGGTTCTACCACATTTTCTACTCAATATCTGGATTTAATGAAATCATACGAGTTAAGATGTTAAATTCTATTTCAAAAGCAAGGAACTCCAGCCATTCATGGCAGCCATGACAACGCATTTTGTTGAACATCGAATGAAGGTTTTTATTGATCACACACATGCATCTTGAGTGACTATTTCATTTTTTTAAAAGCTTTTTGAATTTAAGTATCCAGTAAATGGATTCTACCACATTTTCTACTCAATTTTTGGATATCCTGGAATTAAATTATTATATTAGTTTAGATGTATAATTATATTCCAAAAGGCAAGAACTCTTCAGACATGCATGACAGCCATGTCGACGCATATTGAACGTGACGAAGGGAATTGAGCATTACATTATATCTTTGAAGACCGATGTTTCGTGATTTTTATTCCTAAATATAGAAAGAAAAAGTGTGCTGAGAGGCAAATTGGTTGAGTTGAGTACAGAAACAATGAAGTATAACATTCTGTCTTTAGGTCTCTAAATACTCAGGAATATTAACTTACTAAATAAAAGAGCTTCATCTATAATTAAAGAAGTGGTCATTGCCAACAATTGTTGGCAATGACCACGTCTTTAATTATTTTATGAAAAATGCCAAAGATATCACACCACAACACCTATAAAGCTTCATCTACTAAAGAAATGCTTAGTTATTAATTTCCTTTGAAGGAGAAATGCTGCCAAATGTCATTATTTAGTTCAATCTAGTATGGAACCGTTTATTAGAAGTCTATTGTAGTGTTTCAATTGTTTTAGATTTGTGGAGATAAACAAATGTATACTTTGTGGCATGTTTAGCTATTTTTTCATTTATTCACTTTCATTCATGAATCATCGAAGTAAAATGTCCTGGTTCTATTGCGATACATAACTCGTCTATATTAGTTTAAAGTATATTCTGTACTCACCATCCACAAGCTCAACGATGTCCCGTGTGCGCATGTGTTCGTAATCATTACTAATGTGAGAAAGTACGTGCTGTAGTAGCCCCTCTAGTTTTCAAATAAAAACTGTTCTTTTCATTACGATTTTTGTTATTAATAATGAATCGTGCTCGTATTGGATGAAATTCTTTAGACCTCTTCTAATAACGAGGGGCGGCCTGGTCACCGCTGAGCGCAATGAAACATTACAGTGCGACAAAACGCCACAAACAGTACTAATTAAATAAGTTTTACACAGGGCACTGTGCGACGACGAAATATAAGAGTAAAATCAGTTGTAATGTAGTTTTTTATTATTTATTTATTTACGTCAAAAACGGTTAAAAACTGTGTGTGACGTGCTATGGTTAGAAGTTAAGTTGAAGTTACATTAATGTCCAGAAGCAAAACAAGTGACCATCTCAGAATTTGCTCGAGGATCAGGGAAACTGGAAAACCTGATCGAGATGGGGGTCATTGACCCAGAATCTCAAGTACAATACTTGTTACAGTTTCTTTACAATTATGCAATCCAAGTGATATATATTACATTAAATGTCATTCTTAAAATTAATATGACTTTCCTTTTGGATGCTCGGTATAGTCTCTAATTGTATAGAAAAGTTGTGCAGCAGAAAAGATTTTACTTGAGACTTAAACTTTTGCATTGGATTTAATCGTTTAATGTCATCTGGAAAGGTGTTTTAAAATAATGTACATGTATTGAATGTGAATGTTTTGTAGTAAGCTGTTGATACTGTTATCTGATGAATATGATTACTACGTCGAGTGTTGTAGTTATAGACAACGGCGGTTGCTGAAAGTATATTCCCGCCCTTAAGTAAGTCATTTTTGACAAAAACCACTGATTAATATATTACGAGACATGGTAATGGTAAAATACCTAGATTAATAAAGAGAGGCTTACAAGAATCATGTGGGTGGGATTTGCATATTTTTCGTAGAATTATTTTTTGTAATCTAAAAGTGTGGGAGCTATTTGTTGAAAGCTGAGAGTTGAAAGTGTATAGATATAATTAAGTGAAATAGCGAATGTGCGGTAAATGAAGGAAGCCTTATGCCCAATGTGCGGAAAAGGAGCCTTATTTCCAACTGCTAGTGCTATCCTAGCAGAGACTCCACTACGTGCGGCAGCCTTTGAAGATCGAAATCCTCTTGTAACAAAAAAGTTTCCGATTTGTAGTAGCCTTCGTTTGGAATGGCCGTAGGAGATGACAATGACTCTAATTGTGATGCAAGACCTACTACCTGCGCTTTGGTCACAAAGGGGAAACTCTCCAATCCAACAGCCGCCTCCGTTGATTGTTTTCCAACTCGCCGTCTTCGGGTATTCTCCTGCGTCGGAGCGACCGCTCTCGCTTTCTCGAATTTGGTGTTCACGCTACGTCGCTCCGAAAGATGCGGGATATCCGATGACGCCTCCGATTCTGGAGGTTTCTTTCCGCTCCGGGTTTCTCCATTATGTATGTAGCATCGGTCTCCAAGGAGAGTCTTTTGATCTTCGCGTGTAAATATGGGGCATGTTCGCGATAATACCTAGCCTGTGAAGCTGCATTATATAGCTGATTTCATTTATATCTCAACGAATGTTAATTTTGACAATGAATGTGTACTCAATTCAGTGCCCATAGCTTAAGAATTATTGTCATGGGCACACGCAGCGTATAACAAGAGAGAGGGAACATTTTTAGTCCCCATTTTCCATTAAAAATTTTCACTTACATATGATATATTTGACTAGTCAATAAATAAAGCATTTCAAAAAGAAGGAAATTATATTTAGTAACACAATCGATTTTATGTTGAATAATTTTCTTTCAGGTTTGCTTGGGCCTTTTCCCGAATTGGTCATTCTCCGTCAAATCGCACAAGTTTCAAGAAAATTTTACCTTGATGCCCCAGATTTTAAAATGTTTTTTTTTTGCTGTGAAGAGTGCAATAAAAAATAAGGCACGTGTTTGTCATTTTTGCCAAAACATTGTTTTCCAAATTGTTTTGTAACACATATGTTACCAGGTGTCTCCCACCAGCAGGGCACCGCCTCAGTCTGGACAAGTCCTAAGCTCCCGACCGGTCTCCCGCCATGTGTTGTATGTTAGTGTGTGTGTGTGTGTGTGTGTGTGTGTGTGTGTGTTAGTAAGGGGTGATGACACGACAAGGAAGATAACGAAAGATCGCGCGCGGTCCGTGGCTCGTTTGTTAAGGTTCTGTTCCGGCATTCACCTGGTGATAATCGGAGAAACCACAGAAAAGTACCCTTAAGAACAGCCGGCTGGTAGAATGCTCCTCCAGACAGCAGCTGAACTCGCCCCATCTATCTGGCTAGTGTCGAAAACCCTACCACCGTCGGGAGTGCAACCCCAAGACCTTCCGGTCAGAGGCACTGCAGTGACATCAGTTCACCTCTCCCGGCCCGATCCCTTCCAAAATGTTCACGGCTTCCAGCCCCCCGAGCCGTCCGATGTTTGTGATCCACATATGTTCGTTCCTTTGCAGGAGTGCCGCGGGCCGCGCTGCTCGGGCGCGGGCGCGGGCGCGGGCGCGGGCGCGGGCGCGGGCGCGGGCGTGGGCGGGATGGCCAGCCCGCGCGACGCTAGCGCCTTGGTGGACGCGGCGCGCCTCCAGTCGCAGGTGGACACGCTGGCGTGGCAGCTGAAGCAGGTGACGGAGCTAAAGCACTGCAGGCACTTGCACCCATTGCGAAACATACAAACGCTATTGCCATTTATACAGGTGTCCCATTTTTGAATTGAATTGAATTTGCCTTATTTTACGTGGCGAGACTCGGGCCATCAGGCCCGCTCTTCCGTCTGACCACGCTAATTTAACTTGACAACTTGAAATAACTAAAAAAATTTTAAAAAAATAAAAAAAACAAACATCGCGATGTACGAAAAATTGAGCCGAGACCAAATCTTAACAGTTTTGAAGGGGGAATCATTCAATGCTATAATCAGCACCCCCTGCCCCCAGCGGGTGGGGGGTGGGCAACATTGAAATCTTAAATACGAACCCTCATTTTTTATTTCAGATTCGGATTCTACGGGCAAAAATACATAAGTTTTGTTTGAAACTTTTTTTTCTGATTTGTGATAGGTGGAGCTGTAATCGCAAAAATTTGATTTCCGAGGATTTCCGGCAGAAGGGGAGCTGATTTTAGCATAGAATGATTTCCCCTTGAAGACGCACAATGTTTTCGCCCGACATGATTGCAAGGGAGTTTCACATTTGACTAATAACCTTTCGGGGATCACAATAAATGACACCGTTGGACACCAATTGGACAACCCTGTTATAATACTTCGGCTATCTCTTGTAAAACATTTCGTGTATTTTTTTTCGTTTTTTCTTGCAAAACTTACTCCGAATTTCTAGAAACACGGCACACTACAACCAATCACTAATATCTAAAACCCTCATCATTAGAAAAATTGACTCTATCCCTACAACCATCCACCTCTGTATCCCTCTCTTTAATTCAACGAGTATTTACAATCTATTGCAAAGGCTGATATGTGAGTTACCTTTTTTCGACCCTAATTGTTCCACAATAAATGTCTTCTTGACTGCCTATTTTAATGAAAACAAGTTTTTCCTACTTTAGGCACATTAAACGCTGAAATTTCCTGGCTGTCTTACTACAAATTAAATGCATCAGTTGTTTAGGGCTCTGAGTAACTCGTTACATGCTGAACACTCACCGGTGGCCAAATTTGCTAATAATTGTCCTGTTTTCTATGCTTTTCAATGTTAGTTAAAATTATTCCTTATTGATGTGCTTTGGCATTCTGTTCAGAGCTTTCATTTTCTTGTACTGAAGTTAATTTAACGCCATGAATTAACGATTCGCTTGTAATGTTCAAATCTACTTCCTTTCAAATGTGTTCAATAAAAAATGCGGTGAACGGATATTCAACTTGAAAAAAAATTGATGTGGTTTAATGTTATTATCTTTGCTTACTTTCAAAATGACTATATTTCAAATTCTCACATTTAATACATAATTCACATAGTGTACCAGTAAGTATATATTCATATACACTTATTTTTCATATTTGGACAACCTGTGTATCATAGATACATATTCTCATCATCTGGTTTTAATTTTCGGTCCTTCTTTGGAAGAAAAAAATTTAAAGAGTTTTTCGTAAGATGAGATGAGATTAAGCAGAAATCTTTTTAAATGTATGTTTTAGACAGAAGCAAGCCGTCAGACATACCGGAGGGTGATGGAGCAAGTGGTTGTGTTCTTAGAGAGAACTCACAAGAGCCTTGACAATCTACGACACAGCAGTACACCCAATGGAAGCACACACATCAATGGATCAACACCGAATTGCAGGTATGGAAAGATGGCGATTTAATTAGTACAAGCGACAAATGATGTTAAAATATTGAGTGAAATAATGTAATTAAAAATTATATTTTAAATCGTTACTATTTGCATTTTTTTGAAGATTTTTACTGAAAATTAAAAAAATGTTTTATATGTAGAAAATGAATGGGAAATACGAATTTAATGGCATTTAAACATTAGAGGTACGTAAATACAAATTAATTTAAAGGTTAATCTTCCACATAAATTCAGATTAGTGCCCGTTATACTTAATGAGATGTTTATATTTGTGTGACATTCATAAAAATGAGATTCAAAATTTTTAATTTTGGACAGAAAGTTGGTGTGATTGATGAAAAGTATTTCCATTCTACTTCAAAACATTTATGTTCTACTTTACATTGTTGGACATAAAATGATGAAATCGGATGAGAATGTGGAGAACCCACTCCAAGGTTGTGGTAATCAGCTGCTTCGGTGGGCTGGACTGATGGCGAACCGATGAAAGATGGGGTTAAGTTTGGGTAATTCCTGGGATGCCATGTCAGGATGGTCCATGTCAGCCAACTGGATGTGAACCAACGGAAGCGGTGAAGGAAGCAGTCTCATCAACATCGTCGACCGCAGTCTGAATAAGCAAGACTACAGTTGAACCTGGCAGATCACAAAAACTGTACCACCCATCGTTATGATGGAACGCGACGCAAAAGGCGCTTCGGAATACTGCAGCTGCATGGGGAGTGCGAGGGCGCACCAGGAGACGGTGCTGGGCGTGACAGCTTGAGAGCCACCAGAGGTAGAGTACCGGTGGGGCGGGAAAATATCGGATTACCCTATCTAGATACAGACCAATATCGACCCTGCCCTACATCATCTAAGGGAAGATGATGGGGAAGTGTTGCTGTGGAGCGTACTCCCAAAACCATGACTTTCATCCCACCATGCAGACAGATGAAGTGAAAAATGTGTGTTGCGGCGCTATTACAGATTGACCAAACTAGAGACAATCTCCACTGATTTTCACTGAGTAGTAAGACGTTTATTCCAGTTTACGCCCTAAAAGAGTGCAGAACACCATAGATCAACGTATATCAATATTTCCGAACAACAGAATAGCGGCGAACACAATCAACGAGAGGAAGGAAGAAGTAGGTACAGAATTGGCCATTGTAGAGAACACGGATACCCGACATGCAAATGAAGACCATGAAGCTCGTCTTGTCGAAGACTTGTCACATTACTGAAAGAAGGAAACGTCTTGCAAATCAAATACATGACCCCTCAGTGATTTACAGTGTTGTGGAGTGCAGCGTAGATTCCATAGGTGTGTAAATATCGGATAGTAAATGTAAATAAATCTGTACATAAAAACTCCGGGTCTGTGCTTCACTCACATCACGGCGACGTCACAATATCTTGGAACGCCTGAAAATCCAGAACACTGAACTGGACACGGTACTGAACAGTCAAAAACAAAGGCTTGATGGACTTGCAATGAGGATAAAATGATATCGAAAATGTGAGGCACGTCATAGAGACAACAAACAATTTAGAAACATTCAAAATATTTTTTTTTTCAGAAAGGTAAGAATCAGTGCATTTAATGGGGAATCAGACCCAGACCTCACACTCAATGCTGAGAACATTATCAGTTTCTAGAGTTTGTGTGGGGTGAATATGTTTACCCAAAATAGCGAAATGACAATGGAATGAATAGCAGTCTATGTCTAGATTGAAAATCATGTTAAAAGGAAAATAAATGAAGAAGAGAGGAATACAGATCTGGTAAGAACATTGAACTGGAATGCAACACGGTCCCCCGGGCTTGCAAAATTTCTGGCTGAAGAAATTCACCAAAAGCCCTAAGCATCTTGCCAAATGCTGCTATACTGGAATATTGAAAACCTCGAAGTCAGAGACTCCTTATCTGCTCACATCCACAATAAGCGAAAAATATACCAACACCTAGCCAGCAACAAAATGTTAGACGAAAAACAAAAGGGATGCCATAAAGGATCACAACGATGCAAGGAACAACTGACAACTATCAGAAAGCTTTCGACAGTGGCCCACACACCTGGCTGAGCGAAGGGTTGGAAATATGTGGGATTGAGATTCGTCCCTGAAGGGGCCTGAGATATGCAATGGATTACTGGAGTACTAACCTACAACTGAGTACTGGCTAAAAAGAGTTGAAGTTAGGAATATTAAAATCAAAAGAGGTGTTTTTCGGGGTGATGATTTCAGTCCTTTGTGATTTTGTTAATTCTATACATTCAATCAGAAATCCCTGGTTCTGGACTTATGCAATATAATTCGAAGAATGCTAGAAGAACACAGAGGTTCCTGCCCCCCCCCCCCCAAACATCACTCTCTTTATAACTAAAAATAATAAATAAATCAGAACTAAAAACAAATAAATACATGTACTCACGTATATTATTTTTGTGGGTTTTTTATACAGTATACCAAGATTTTAATTTAATTGCCACATTGTAAAACTTGCTCTTTTTCAAATATTTTCTTCTCGTGTATTTATAAAGAAATTGATCTTTGACGCCACCCTCTGGGGCAGTTATTATTCAGACCTCACAAGTTTTATATATATATATATATATATATTTAACGCAGCATCAACTTCTAGGTCATTAGCGACCACTATTGCTTGTAACGGTATGGTAACTGTGAGGATGACACGATATGATGATGATAGGGAATGAAAGGACGAACACAATACAACCATGCCCGAGGAGGGAGTCGGGCCGAGATCGCTACGGCACTACTGCCTTAGCGATCTCGGCCACCGGATCGGCTCCTCACTAGTGATAATTTGAATTGAGAAAGTGTTTTTCCAAGATAAATTTGCTTGCCTTGTAATTTAAGTGTGATGGTTGTTTCAGGGTTCCCCGATCCCGGAGCGTTCACACCGTGGACGTCTCGCCGAGTCGCGCCAGCCCGCGCTCCGACTCCGCCATTCGCTTCCCGCGAGCCAAGAGCATTGCGCAGATTCAGGAGACGCAAAGCTACAGCACTTTTCGGGATTTCACTTGGTAAATAGTTGTTGAATACGCATTAATTAGGCCAAATTCATCCAACTAAGACCTCTACTAAACTCATACAACCACCTCTCACTGTCAAATGCACTAACGCTATACAAATCACTCATTCGCCCAATACTATTATACGCATGCCCGATCTGGACCGTCCAATCTCATCAAATTGCAAGTATTTCAAAACAAATATTTAAGATTAATAACAAGAGCATAATGGTTCATTAGTAATAAACAACTACATCTCCATCTAAACATAAATGAAATAACACACCAAATAGCATTCCTATCAAACAACTTTTACACAAACTTATCCTTCATAAAGACATCAACTCACTACAGACTCGGAAAAGATCCCAGATTCAAAACCAGAATTAAGAACAGATTCCCGCTCCATTCTTTCCTCCAGATATTCGCAAATGTTGAATAATTATTCAGAGGTGCTTTTTGTTTCCTCTCCCTATATTAAGATTAGTTAAGTAAAATTTTAACCTAGATTAAGTTTTCAAACAATTACAAAGTTTTTATTGTAAACAGAACATTGTTCATCAACAAACAATTAAATAAATGATAAAAACACATTAATTAGGAAAATACTTTAAATTATGAGTCAACAGTATGGGTTTTTCATATCAGTGATAAAAAATCTTATCTTATCAGATGAACTTGTATTTGTAACTTCGAAGCGTCACACTAATTAATTCTCAGGACTCCGCGACAGAGATGTTAGTATGTCAGTAGGTCACTTTTAGTTAAGTCTCGGCGCGCAAAAACGTGATGGTCGTTAAGACTTTTGTAGGTCCATGCAGGGGCGGATCCAGAGACAAAATTTGGGAGGGGAAATTAAAAATGTTTTGGTCGAATATGTCGAGTTACAGATTTTGTGAAATGTCGCAGGCTACACTCAGCTCACGCTGCGATACGATTTTATTCGTTTGTATGATTATCTGAAAATATTTCTGTTTGAAAGTTTCGTTACAAAATAAATAGTTACTGAAAAATTTTAGGGATGGAAATTTCCTTCCCAGGGTATCCGCGCTTGGTTCATGTAATAGTATAATATTGCGGAGACCCTACAAATAATGCGAGAAAGTAGGTGGTGTTGTAGCACCTTTGGTTTCGTGTCCAGAGCCTGATATTACAATTCTGTCAAAAACGCCGTTTTCAGGGAACACTATTACAATATCTTCTCTTACAAAGTTAGTAAAATCAGGGAAAATTTCTTTTTGAAAACATTTATTTTCATCGTACATCACGAGTACGTGAATCTATAACTATGAAACAAAATTTTAAGAAAACAACATTCTGGAATTAAATAGGTACATACGTAATGGGTGAGTAAGTATTATGTACATAACAGTTACTTACTACACCTGAAGATGAAAGACCCTGAAAAGTATGTTTAAAGTTTCTTTTTATTTAAACCTTGCTTAGTAGACATTTGCAACATATGATTTTTTTTTTTTTTTTTAATATAGTGTCGGCGTCGTTACATTCAGGTATAGTACAGTACGTACTACACACATGTACAGAGTAAACTATACATACATAGTAGAGAAAGTGATGTAATGCTGCGGAAAAATCGATTTCGAGCTTAAAACGGAAATGCGCGTCTTGGGGGTCTGATGGTTCCAAAAACCGCTTTTCTAAAAGTTTCCGACTCGAAGCTCTGTGAGTTTGAAAAACATTCTCTATTTTTTGGGGGGTATTTTACTTGAAGTACCTGAGAATTTTCCAAATTTTCTCAAAAAATGCTAAAATTGTTTTAAAAAAATGTCTTCAAAAAATTTATTTTTATGAACCTTAAGTGAATTACGTGTTGAAAACAATTTTCTTGGATTTGACCAAAAATGTGTTCATGCTACGTAAGTTTGCGTTGAAGGGTTCAAAAGCATCAAGTACCTCAGAAAAAATTTCAAAATTTTAGTTTTCCTTTCAAAAAATGGAAAAATATGTTTTATCCCACTTACATAAAAGAAGTATTACAGTAGTACTTCTTTATAAATTACAGTGCTTCTTTATTCATTAATATTATCTACTTTAAAAATATGATAAAAAAAAGTATTTTTTTACATTAAATGAATTAAACTCTAGAAAAATATGTCTTCCTAAAATGTGAAAAGCTTTCCTGAATATTGTTTTGAATAATATGTAAAAATAACGTTGATGATGGTGATCAGTAGAGAGAGGATGTTTATGCCATAAAACATTTTGAAATATGCTTTTAAAATATGCATTTATGATCTAAAAAGTCTGAAATATGCACTTCAATATGCAATTAAAATTAACAATATTTCATTTCCTCTATAAGCCTTTCTTGATGAAATTCCAGAGAAGTGTGCTTGTAATGACAATATATCTTTTTGTGCAAATACAATATAAATCTACCCTACTTTACAAGAGAAAGAATTGAAGTAAATATTCACCCTAGGGAAGTACATTGTATATTTCATATTTCTTCTGACTGGTATAAAAATTATGTTATCAAGATATATCCTCCATCTGCAGAAGTATTTTAGAAAACAAAAGAATGCAAAGTGTGACAAGCTCTTTCAAATCAATGAACGCTCACCAAAAACTAGATTCTATGAAAAGATGAAACGTTTTATTGATAAGTCTCTATTTTAATAAAATATGCACTTACAATTAAGCAAATAAGCACCAACAGGAAAAATCAGCCAAATATGCACATAGTATCAGATTCTAATAAATGGTCAAGGAATTTCTCTTGGCAATGCACTGAAGCATTGGACAAAAATATACAAAATCATAGAAATCTGCTCCATAGTGATCAGTGTCAGCCAGTTAAGGGGAGCCAGGGAGTCATAGCCCATGATCATCCTTCTAGCATTTGCAACCACAATTCACCATGAGAATCAGGCAGGCCATTGCTAATTGAATGCCAGTTACGCTTCTTGTTTTACATATTTGCTGGCTAAATTACCGACATGCCATTGGCCAGGGGTACCAGACCATATTTGGCTTATGGATTATTTCACTTTTGGATTCTGCTGAAGTGAAATTCTCAGCTAAATACAGGGTATTGGAATGAGCAAAGCAGTGTGGCATTCGTACATTCCAGAGTTTCGATATTTACTTGAAAACCGATTAGTTGTAAGTTGATGTGACTGCATGATTGGTTGTATTTATATATTTTATATATTAATTAGAAAGCATCCAAAATTAAAATATTTTATTATTAATCCCATGTCAATGGCAAAATATAAGCTTAGATATTAATGTAAACTACAGCTGCAACAAATTTTTAAAATATCCTTTATTAATAAATACTCACCATATTTAACCCTTACTATCTAATTGTAAAATATTGAAGTTTGTAATAGCAATTTAGTGTTATAAGAAATGTAGGATGTTATAAAATAAATAGAAAAATTCCATTCAGTTTTGTTATGATGTAAAAAGCCATCTTCATAACAGATGACAGTATCTAGTGCTGGTAATTAGAAGGGCAGGGCCATGGTATGAGTCCACTCTCATACAATGCTTTTTATTTTATTGTTCTAAGTTCATTTATAACAAAACATAAAAAGAGAAGTGTGGGAGACATATCAAAAAATAGTAGTTCAATATTATCTCTTGCAAAGGAGACTTTACTACTGTATATTTTTGGCAAATGCCCCCCCCCCCCTCCCAAATCGTCACCCACAAATGAAAATGATAATGTATTTATTTATGGGAAGTTTCCGGCCACAAAGCTTGCTCTTCTACATGACCACACAAATATTTTATATTATTGTGTGTTTACAAAGAAAAACTCAAAAATTACCATTTGTACATGAAGCAATCCATTTTAGTTGATAATATTTTAATACAGCAGTAGCTCTCTTCACATTATATTATTAAGTTTTACGTGTAATAATATTGCGTGAATACTGTAATATTGTATAATATAATATAATTGAAAATTGATAAATAATTGATTAACTAATGATACAATGTCATTTTAGGAGATGAATGTAATTAAAGTTTTTTAAATTCAAATACTCTAGTATGAACAGTATAAATAATTTCTTATAACGTTATAAGTACCCTGTTATATGTTCAATATGTATTCTAGAACTGAAAAGAAATTGAGAATATTATACCTTTTCCATATACTTTTGGATGAAGATGAATCAAAACATAAATTAAGATTCATTTCTTACATTTAAAAAATGATTACATTGGAAATAATTAATCATGCATATCTGCCTATTTAACTATTTTTTTGTTGATAATAACAAAAGAAAAAATTACAGGTAAAAATGGTATTCTTGTAGATAACATTTCATTTTAAACAATGAAAGAAACAAAACACTTAGTGAAGTTTAAACCAGTAAAAACACTACTTCAGTTAGTCTTTACTCACTTAGGAACCAAATTATTGAAATAAGTATGTAACCTGAGAGTGGGACACTTAATTCACAATATTAAAATAGAAAAAAATTGGCTCTTTAAAATTAAAACCTTTTTCAAATCTCAATAATAATCAATAAACATTTTTCAAATTTATTTCAAAGAGGTAAAGTAGTAACTTTCCCAAGCTAAGTGTTCAAGGTTTAAAATCCAGTTCTATGAATTTATTTTTTCTTCTTCATTTACTGAGAAAAAAGTTAAATTGCTAAATACACTATTAGATGTTTGAGATAATTACAATATTCTAATATAAAGTAAAAGAAAGGAAAGTTTTTAACAACACAATTTTTCTTTGGCTTCAATATTATTACATAATAATAATGACAAAACAAAGTGGCTCAATACCTAGCACGCTGACTTCACAGTCAGGAGGCCCAGGTTCGATCAGTGTGCTAGCCATCCTGTCCAGGGTTTTGGTTGTTTCCCTCGGTCATAAGGGCAAATGCTGGGATGGTTCAAAAACTCCACAATCACCTCTCGTCATCCTATCACTTCATAATTCATCGTTCAAGGCTTAACAACCTAGCCTTACCAAGGGATAATCACACATGTTAATATCTCTCTGGGAAAGAATATAACTGAGCTTGGAAGTTAACGTGTAGCATGGTTAGAAGTGGCTGATATGCAAATAATGTCATAAAATTTGTGATCATGTGGTTTATCTTCCTTTCTTTTTTAAAATTTTTTTATTGGTTTCATGAATTTCAATTAGAAAGCTTTTTATTATAAATGAATATAAAATCTTAATAGTGAAGGTTCAATGTGTTAAAAGAAGATGGACAGATTTCAAAAGATCATACATTACATTAAACTTGGTTATTCAATTCAAAATTTTTCTAACAATTTTTGGTAAAGTAACATGTTGATGTAACATTTTGGGAAATTGTTGGATCCTTGATTTTGAATTAAATAACTTAGATTCATTTAACGAACGACGTTTTGAACTATGTCTATTTTCACTGAACATATGATCAATATATTAGGGTATGTATAAAATTATAACGAACATAATAAAACAATTGAATGTGTTAAAAATCTGTCTACCAGGGGCAATCAACTTGATTTTAAACCAATGACTCTACATGTTTCTGATGTTGTCTTGACAATATTTCCAATGAACTAGAAATATTAATTTCATTTTAAAGTCTACACCACTGAACTCAGATGTAATTTTTAAAAAGGACCCCTAACAAAGATTGAAATGTTAAAAAAAAAAAAAATAATAATAATAAATTGTCGACTATGTAAAAAAATTTTGTTTTAAAAAATAAAGTGAAATAATAAAACACTAAATATTGAAGTCGTTGAAATCCACAAATAATGAATAATTATCATATAGAATATGAAATATGAATTTAAACTACAATAATCATGTTTTTATTTGTTTTCGTTTTTTGTTTCAGGAGACGTCCAAGGAAGGCAAATATAAATCCTGACTGTGTACCTCCGGAAAAACTTTCAGAAGAATCATTTCGCCTTCTTAGATTGGTGCAGTCTCTTTTGAACGTCCAAGAACCAGACTTGACCCTAAGGATTAGTGCAGTAAGCGATAGAGTATCTGTAACGTCTTCAGTAACGGACCACATGCCTGACACATTATACACTAATTCGATAAGTCAGAGGAGTAGTACTGCATCTTCAGGCTTTGATATGGCTGACGATAAAGGCTCGGTGTTAGAATTAAATTCTTTCAATAAGAAATTATTGAAGCACGATTCACCCACATCTCTTAGTCTGTCATGTAGTTCCCCTGTCCCTAGTACCTGCAATAGAAGTCACACATCTGACACTATTTCTATTCACTCAATTAATTCAACGTCGTCGAAAACATTGGAGTGTAAGAACACAGCACTGACCAGTGGACTAGAGTCTGGATTTGCTGGCCATACTAATTATTCGAGGAAAGGTTCAAACTTTACTCCATTAAAACTTGATAAAGATACAGAGATATCAAATGGTTACCCTACAAATGGCACATCTCTCAAACAACAGCTTAGTGAAGATGAAAGTGGGTTTTCTTCCATGAGTTCATTTCAGGAAGTAGGAGTACCTATTATTACACCTCCACTGTTGCCATCATCACCCCCTCCGAGTGGATCATACCAAGAAGTTGGTTTGCCATTAATAGAAAGCCAAACTCCAAATAATTCTGGAAACCACAGACGCTGGAGTTCCACTCCAGTGACTGGTGAGACGCAGTTTCCGCATCCCAGTAGGTCCTTCTGCCTGCCAGGGGAGTCTTGGAAGGTGCTCTGGGTGTAGCAAAACTCATTTTATATCCACAATAGTACTGTTTGTAAGTCAGATATATTCATGTTGCACACAGATAACTTGATTTCCTTCTATTTCTCTGCCATTATGGATACTATTTTTCTAATGGATGACTTTAGTTTTTTGATTCATGAATTTTGTGTCAATTATTTCCTTGAATCACAAAAGATTTAATGAAATTGCCACTATATTATTCTTTGTGCAGTTAAGAAAATAATTTGACACACAAAACTTACCAACTTCTCTTAGAAATTTTAAATCATTCTAATGTTATTCACCATTAAATGAGCTGTCTATTAATAATTAAATTTCATTAAGTACTTCTGATTCTGTAGCTTTGCACTTAAATAATGTGTAGCTATGATCAGCAAGAGCAAGTTAAACTTGTTACTCTGGTTCTTCTTAAAATTTGAAGATACTAAGAGATATTGTTTCTCTCTGTGTTCTTGTAATTTTATGATCAAAGATTATTGCTAATTCACAAGACACTACTGTATTGTCTTTTTTCTCATTAACTGTTGTGTGACCTGTCAAAGTGTTATTGAACTTTTATCAATACGGGCAAGGAGGAAGTGGGTGTAGTTGTGTGTAGAATGTTGTGGCTGTTCATCACAGTTTAGCTGGTTTCATGTAGAGATCAATTGTTAGAAATGTAGTGTATCATTATTTTGCCATAAACTATTTAACATTTTATCTTTAGAAAGACTAGAACCAATCACCTTTTTTGAATGAATGACAAGTAAGATAATTCTATTACATCTACATCAAACTAGAAACCATTTCCTAAAAATAGGCAGTATTATCAATTGAAAGATCAAATGTCAATTACACAAATAAAATCAAAACAAATTACATAAGAACAATAAAAATACAATAGAGTTCAACAGAATGTAGTAATATTCAGAAACTTAAAAGAAATTTGACAGAAGAAACATATTTTGCTGTTATGAAATGTGAGCGAGTATTCCAATGCATCGCTTACATTCATAAATGTGGCCAATTCTTGCACCTAATGTTTGTAACTACATTATATTTTTTAGAAAATTGATGTATATTTATTGTATGCTTTTTTGAAGGAGAAATAAATGTGTTCTCTCAAAACCATGTGTTTTTTTTTATAATATCTATTTTACCTACAAGTACACAAAACCTAACCTTACCCCCCTGGAGGATACAAAACTGAAACTTCATTTCAAAACAAACATTCACAAAAATAATATTTCAGATTACCCTAAAATAGTGCATAACACCTACATTAACTTTTCCCCTAATAATAATTATTTAAATTAAGAAAGGTAAAGTCTTGTATATTGATTTTGTGCAGATTTATCATTAAAATTGGTCACTGTGTAAGGCCCTTGAATCTTTAAAGCCATAATTAGTGAAGCCAAATGTTTGTAGAAATAGTTTATTAAGGACTGGAGCATGTGTTGTAGTCAGAAAATAAAATTATTTTTGTAAAATATTGAAGCCTCCGGTTGAGAAGTTAGGAATATGTTCAATAACAATTTACTTTTTAATTGTAACCTTTTGTTCAGTAAATTTCATCATATTATCTCTCTAAGAAAATAGTGTAACCTGAAGATAACTGACTTTTTTGTTGCAATGTTTGTTTGTAATTTTTGGCATAATGTGTCCCAAGTATCATTCTGCAAGATTGTTATTTTCTTGTTGATTATTGAAATCAAACCCAATATAATATAACAAAACAAATCCAAAGTAATTTCTTCTGATGCAAATTCAGTTTCCGGATCAAAATTGGGCAATTAGAGGCATTTTTGGAAACAAAAATTATGAAAACTCAAATTGCATGAATTCTTAACATGAATAAAGAAACTGGAAGTGTCACATTTGGAGAGAGAGTGGGAAAAACAGTGTTTTAAATATTATTAACATTCATAATATTTATGTCCGCTTCTGAACATAAATGTAACTTCATGAAGTGGCAGGTTTTCTTGAGCTCTCCTTTTGCTAGTAGATATGAGTAGAACTGGGGGTATGGGTTACTATTTTATTAGCAATATATAAAAAAACAAATTTGTAGTTTGTTTACTGATGCAAATAAGTTTTCTATTACTCTGACATGAAAATGTTTAGTTTTCAAATATTACTAACCTTTCTTTGTAGAAACTTGTATTCATCGTTCAACTATTCATGGTTAAAAGGTGGGGAGGAGATTCTGGAACTCAAGAAAACGTGCAGATTGCACCTCTCCCATGTAAGTCACATATTGATTTTATTTTATTGTTTTTGGCAAAATAAACCAAACTAAATATTTAATAATAATAATAATAATAATAATAATAATAATAATAATAATAATAATAATCATAATCATCATCATCGTAATCATAAAGGTTAAATAATAACTATAAGCATTAACCAAGATGTAGGTTTACTGTAAATGAAATAGAAGAGTAAAGACAAGAAATAAATGAATAGTGAATAACCCAATGACAAGTGAAACAATGCACTAAACACTCTATTAAATGTGTTCACAAATCTATGAAGTTAATTTCTCCAGATAAAAGATTATAAAAATGGATCTAAAAAAAACGAGCTTCAAATTTGGATGTGTGGTGTCTAAGGATAGTTAATGGACCAGTGTTAAAGAGCATGTTGTGAATATCAACACATATCAAAAAAAAAAGTACTCTTTTAGGTATGGAAATGAACTTGAAAACAATCTATAGTAAATCATGAGATACAGAAGAAATATCCAATGTTGGCTTACTGATAACCAATCAACTCATTCAACAAAATGAGTCATGTGTAAATTTGTGCACTTCTGTCCAACAGTGATAGAATCATGGAATTGCCAAGAATCATCTTCTCAGTTATTAATAATACCTTCTGGGCTGGATAGTCATAGCCTATTGGACATTTTATGCCCAAACGTTTCATCTGCGACTATCGCAAACATCTTCAGTGGCTACTGGAACACACAGTGTCACACAGAAGGTATTATTAATAATATATCCAGCCATGAAAGACTACATTGTTTTATTCATCTTCTCCGTTGTTGATAGATGTGGATTTACCTACATTAGAAATAAGCAGTTGCTTAGGGACCTCCCCCCCCCCCCCATCTAATGTGAGTCTCATGCCTTGGAAAAAAATAAAAAAAGTGTTTGAACATTTGTCATAAAATATGTTTGTATTTGTAAAATAATTGGTAATTCAAGTCTACTGCACTAAAGAAGATTTTATTTGAAGTTAATTTTTAAAAGACAATATTTGATAAATGTTATTGTAGTAAATCTGGAGGATTTCCAGAAGGGGCCCCAACAGCATTTAAATCCTGCCCTGGCTGTACGATTTAAAATATTGTGATCATATATAAGAATAATAGTTAACAAATGTCATTGCTTAGAAAAAATAAATATAAGATTATTCTGGATGCCTCCAGGTACATTGACCACTGTATAAAAGTACATTACTGTTCTGCACTTAAGAACAAATTTTTGATCTTTCTAAGACAATTTAGGAAACACAATGACAAAATATACCACTATACCCCTGATTATTGCAAAATTATGTTTTAATATAATGTGTAAGTGATTTGTAAATTTGAACACACTTCCAAGAAGTATCCTACTTCTACTAATCCTAACAACAGGTGATCCAAAGTTAAAAAGGTTTTCGTATAATAAAATAAAAATATGAAAGTTGTCTGGGTAAATAATTTACATTTCTTAAGACTTTTCAGTTTAAAATTGAGCACATTGTTTACTGCATATGAGTATGTTTAGAAAAGATGCTACATACCTTGTAAATACAGATAAAATATTATTTAAACAAAGGTATATCATATTCCCCAAATGTGAAAAATATTTTCACCAGAAAAATAATAAATTGAGAACATATTAGGTGAAAGCATTAGATTCGTAATTAAAATAATGGAAACCACAGTGAAAATGGAAACAAATGAATTGTTGGCATGTTATAATCCTGCAGAATATCTTTAAATATAAACTTTCTGTAAATTATTCACTTTCAGTTTTCCTATCACAAAACAACCTTCATTTTTGTGTTCTTTACACAGCTTAAAATTTCAATTAACAGGCAATGAAATATCTATTTTTCTATTAACATTAGTTCAGTATACTATCGTGGAATTCGTGTAGGAACTTTAATCACTTAATAAACTTACACTGGTTAAATAAAATCGAACTCTGCAGGCCCTTTTAACTCTCCAACATACCAATGTTGGTAGAAAACAAATTATTGTTGGCTAACCTGTTTTATATACCATCCATGAAACTTCTCAGTTCCCGTGTGGTGTTCTATGGACTCGCACCTCTAAGAATTCGCGTTTAATTGTTTTTGTTTATTATTTTGTGTAATTTTTCTCGTGGACAATAACAGCAGGTGTACATCTGTGAAATGACCGACAAGGACCCTGACGCGCCGACTGTTGTGCAGACTAACCTGAAATTGCTGTTGGAACAAACGAGTTTATTCCCATTAATTGGTAAGTTAAGGCCTGAAAACGATCTACTATTCTGTCTGAAACTATCATTCCCGTGGCCTTGGACGTATTATCGTTGCATGACAAGTACACAGAGGCGGTGACAGGCGGTATTTGACAGTCTTCATGCTTGAAATACATGTGTATAGTTCATTGAGTAATGTCTATGAACGAAATTCCTACCTGGTTTAAGAGAGGACTGTATGGGTGCATATTATTTTCAAGATATATAGTGACTTGGCCACAGTTTATAATGAGTTTCAAAGCCGAGAACAGGTTTCAAACCGTTAGGTTTCGAGGTTAAACATGTCGCCACGATTTTACTTGCACTTTTACGTAGAGTTGATGAAGCGAGTCCTTTCAGCTGAATTAGCATACGCATGGAGCGCCTGCACTCGATATAATATTGTGGGTTTTATGATGTGACGTAACAAATAAATAGCGCTATTTTCTCTTTACTCCATAATGAAGTAAAATAATGTGTACGTGTGAGGTCATTGATGTGTTAAGTTTGTGTAAGATGATCTACAAGTTAAGTTATTGACTTTAGTGTTGAACGAAGCATTGTCTTAACTTAGAGAATTAAAACTACAAATCGTGTTTAATAACTTTGATGGGTGAGTGATTCTTGTCTCCGTGAGCAGGTGCGAATTAGCAGTTTTCTTCAGACACGTTCATAACTCTAATGTGAAGGGACACAATTCGATGAGTAAAGCGGACTGCCTTCATTAAAGCCGCACAGTATGAATAAATGCTGATAATTTTCCATTTCTAGGGGAGATTGCTTTTCTAATTTCCGTGATATGAATATTTTGAAATATAGAAACCAAATAAGGCACCTAGGTAAATAAAAAAAAAGAAAAAAACAATTTAATAAAGGTGGTATCATATTGAAGTAAATTGTTTTTCGCGGTTTTATTTCGAATCTACATCATTTGATTGTTTTAACTATTTGTAGCAACTATAATACTAATCGTATCTGTACAGGCACCGAGTCGGAATAGCACGACATATTCAAAGTCAAATCTGAATTAAAACCTGGAGTTGAAATTCCATCATGACACCTGGCGCTTCATACAAACGATTATGTCAATTTGCTATGTTAAGTATTTATTCATGATTTTTTTGTAGTTTTGGGTAAAAAGTTTCGAATTAAGTTCCCACGAAAATTTGGATATTGTAAGAAGTAAATGTTATTATCCCTGTTCCGCCTCCGGAGAATGAAAATATTAGAATAATATAGTTTTGAATATTTTCGTAATGAATATAATGTGATAGTTAAAAGCAAACAACTGTCCTACCAGTTTTGATCCACTTTCTAAATATTAAGACCTTTTTCCTTGTTTAAATATTGTGTACGTGTTCCTGTCTTCCGTAACAGATCTGTGTAATGCGACTTGACCGAAGACCAGTGATAAATAAAAAGCAAAGTGGTGTATTATTAAGAGATAAGGTGGCCCTACCGTCTAGGCCGCCAAGCCGCGCGGTCGTGAGGGGGAAAAAAAGGAAGAACGTCGCTTCGAAAGCGAACGCTGCACTGTTGCGCCAGTCGGGGGCTCCATAAACTTAACTGCTTCACTTTCCGTGAGCGCCGCCGGCGCGTAGTCACGGGACGCGTCTCTTCACGTGGAGTTGTAGCCGCTATCGAAACTCGCTTCCCTTCGCTTCGCCTCGGACGCGGCTCATGCGTCAAAGGCCGTCGCCGCCTGTTGCCCTTGCCCGAGCGCTCCGGGCGGCGGCCGGCGCCACGAAGCGGCCCGAACATCTCGTAGGTTTGGGGGCTCTCCAATTCAGTTGGTGGGCCAAATGCCGCGCGTTTTCGTTCGCTGGTTCATACTTCCGTCAGGTGAGCCGCGTGACTTCCTACAGTTAGAGACCGATCCCTTTGCATAGGTTATGAAGTCTTACAGAGACTTCTTGGCACAGAACCTAGGTCAGAGGCACCAACTTGAAGAAAATATGCGGAGGGGGAACTTATATAGTTACGCCCCGAATTCTACCTTATTTCTTAGGGTTTGGTTTTCAGTTTTAAAACCAGTCATCTTCAATTCAATTCAGTTCAATTCAATTCAGTCATGCCTTATTTTCCGTGGCCAGGCGCGGGCCATGAGGCCCGCTCTTCCGTCTGACCACGAAAAATTCCACTTTCACCAACTAGCAGAGAAAGGAAGTATCCCTCGAGCGACGAAACTGGCGATTTTGAATTTTTCTCATAGCCTTTTTGAAGTCTTGAGGATATTTTACATGCAGTAAATCTACAACATAGGACAGCCGGCTTTATTTCCCCCTCCGAAGGAATGCGTGTTTTTTCGCCCTTTAAAAACCACGATGTGGATAGGATATGAACTTGCAATCTGGGTGTAACAGTCCCACACGCTAACTGTTGCACCACCGAAGGCAGAGCAGCCAATCTGGGACTTCTTATACTGTTGTTGCACCCCCAACTGGAGACTTTTCCCATATAACTACAAATATATCCGATTTTAGGATTTACGACACACGTCTCTCGAACGCACTGAGCGCTATAAGCACTTGCCCCCTAAGCGTAGTGCCGAGGTTTGGATACGCCCGCGGTTTTTCCTGAAGCAGAAACAGCCTCAAAAGTCTTTGGCGCCTTCACGCATTGCCCGCGCCATTTGTCGGCCGAAGAGCCTGGCCACATGCTTTGTTTGACCCACCGTCGCACGCCTCCCCAGGGACGATCGCGGCTCAGGGTTAGCACTAGAGCTTCATATTTCGGCAAAGTGCCTTTTCACTATTGGTACCGTTTAATGACTTATCCGTAGGAATCGTTTACTTGTGGTATTTTGGAGTTGTTTTAGTAGATTCTCATTTTCAGTTTTTTTGTTGCTTGTTTTAGCTTTCCATGCCTTTTTTAGTATTGTGCCTTTTCGTCATTATTTTGCTTTTCTCTCTTCGCACTGATTCCGATCAAGGTGGAAACATACCAGCAGGCCTGAACAGAATGAAGGTACGGTCGTGTTTTGTCTTTCTGTGGAAGCGAAGGCTCCAGGGTCAGGTTAAAAATCTAAATGAAAAAGATGACACCTGTCAAAAGTTTCAATTTTTTCCTTGATGCTGATGCTGGTGCTGTTTTGTTTGTTCACAAGGAGACCCATCGTACTTTTGACTACGACCTCCAATCCCTTTTGAGCACAGAGCTTTCTGAATTTGATGTCCTTCTCAGTGCTGGCGATTACACAAGTGCGGAGAACGAAAAATATAATTCTGTTTTCACTGATACTATTTGGAGATTAACAAGGGAACCGCCACCAGAAGAGCGTTGCGAAGAAACAGCGACGCGAGTAAAACAAATTCATAGTTATCATACCGGGTGGTCGTGTTCGGTCAAACTTACCAAGAACACATCGTTTCTTTACACGTAAGTGCTAATGTTTGGAGTTAGGATAAAAATGTAAATCATTTTAATTATTTATTTTTTACGATTATTCCTTTGTAATATGATTTTTCATTGTTAACATGTCTTTTTCGCACCTCTACTGTGGCTAGAATAAATGCCTGTTTGCGTGGCTATTTTGGTAACAATAAATACCTTTTTGGCGACTTATTTTAGGTAAAATAAATGCGTGAACTCCCCGGTTCTAGTTATCACAAATTGGAAGCCATGAATGGCACTGAAAATGGGCGCAGACACAAAACACAACTTAAAGCAAGAAAAACCATGTTTAGCTACAGTATATAATTTCAAAATTTTGTTTTCATATGACACAACATGAACAGCACAGTCTGAAAAGAATCTGTGGCTAAACCTAGCGCGCCATCGTTTGCCGAAAGTGAGAAGGAAAAATCTTCAGAAATCGCGACCTTCCGTCCGACGAGATGACGTCATCGGCACGTGGATCAGGTTTGGACGGCCTTTCCTCAGTCTCATTTGCGAGGTTGAAAGAAGCGAACACGGGCCAATTTAAATGTGTTGATCCAGAATCGAGTCTGCGACGTGGTATTAAATTTTATTTAGCTGGTTAACTAAACTGTCTGTGTCAAGGTGTAACATTAGCCACGCACAAAATACGAGCACTTTGTAATCTTAGTGAAACGAGATATTTGCTCTGGCAAGTTTTCTTAATACACGAGCTCCCTAGTCCTTGCCCAGCTCTGAATAGTACGGCATGTTGCGATCTTTGTCCGACTCGGGAAGGCACTTACAGTTTACAATGCTACCAACATCCACCTCGTACCTTCAAAATAATCGCAATATTTCTCAGGCCACAACCTCAAATTTATGCTGAGATGTTCTGAAACACTAAAATATTTTTTCATCTTGTACCAGGTCGAGATAGAATGTAATTCTTCCCCTTGTGTAATTCTCGTTCTGTGAATCTAGGCTTTCTTCCACTCGTTTCCTTACTTTCTTCTTTACTTAAAAATAAGCACAACACGATTGCATCTTTACAGAACATTATGGAGCCGTTGGGCAATATACTACAATACACGGAGCAAGGAGCCTAACCGAATCAGAAGCTGTCCGAGGTGTCCAATTCCATCCCAGCGATACCGGGAGAGGTGGCTCAAGGTATCACTGCAGTGCCATGCATCGCGAGGTCTTAGGTTCGAGCCCCGACTGTGGTAGGATTTTCAACACTAGTTAGATAGCTTGGTCGTATTTAGTCGCTGTCTGGAGGAGAATGCTGGCGACCAGCTGCTCTGATTGGTGGTTATCCGTGGTATCTCCGATCAGTACCAGACAAATGCCGGAGAAGTACTCTAACAAACGGACCGCGCGCAGTCTTTCCGCCCTCTTCCTTGTCCTATCCTCACCCCTTACACACACACACACACACACACACACACACACACACACACACACACACCACACTAACATGCACAACACTACCGCACATGCCGGGAGACCGAAGGGCTTGGAGCTTGTCCCGGCAGGGGCGGTGCCCTGTAGGTGAGAGATACCTGGTTCGGGAAAACCCCGCAAGCCGACGGTAGGTCGGTGCCGGATATCTTTCTCCAGCGGGAGAAGGTGACCGCCA